TGGTCATAATTTTATTATAGTAGGTATGATATTAAAAGATGTTATAAATTACAAATTTATAATACAAAATATACGTTTTGTGTTTTTTTGTTTTTAATTATATAAAGGACTAATCAAAATACAAAAAAAAAATTTTAAAATGTTATACTAATTAAGTATTTCGAGTACCTATAGTACTTATTTGGAATACTTTCAAATGTATTTAGAAATTTAGAATTAGAATATAGTATTAAGAGGACGCTACACCCCCATGTGTTGTCTCCGTCTTACAAGTGCGTAACATTGCAAAAACTGTTTCGCGCGGGAAAGAACCGAGGAAGCTACAGTTATAACTAAGAATTGAAATTTTCACCACATAAAAAGGAGAATTTTGTCTGTGCAATATCGTTTTTATTTTTTCGATAACAGAACTACAAAAAAAGTTATTCATGCTTAAAAAACACAAAATTAATGTATTATAAAACAATAAGAATTTTTTTTGTATACCTAAGTGATATCGAAAAAATAAAAACGATATTGCACAGACAAAATTCTCCTTTTTATGTGGTAAAAATTTCGTTTCTTAGTTATAACTGTAGCTTTCTCGGTTCTTTCGCGCTCGAAACAGTTTTTGCAATGTTACGCACTTGTAAGACGGAGATATTACATGCGGGTGTAGCGTCCTCTTAAGTACTTTTGGGAAAGTCAGTCGTACTGTCTAAATRATTTTGCAATATTACTATAATATATATTTTTCATGTTCCAACAAAAAATTATTATTTTATGCTTATGATATATTTTATATTACACGATTTCGAGTACCGAAAAATGTTATATTTCTCTTAAAATTAATAATACTTTTTTTAAATATTGTCTTTGATACCTATAAATTTACATGATTATCTTTAAACTTATAATATTTTTATTATTTTATACTTGATTTTTCACCTATTCGCATGTAGAAAATAGAAATATGTATTAGGTAATTTACCGTTTATTATATACCAAAACCTGTAAGCTCAATCGACGTCCCAGTGGCGCATCATGTCTCAGCTCACAGGTCATTGTACAAGTGTTTCCTTTAGCCAGTGAATAACAAAGTAAGTTTCTTTATAGACTGAAACATCACAATAGGTACCTAGCTTATATAATATAGGTACTAATCACTAATCAGCCTTCCCCACATYATATTTTTGGCACTGGTACAAAGCTAAATCAGAGCCCCCCTCTTAAATAACAATTAATTTTTCGACTTGAAAATACCTTAAATATTAGTTGTATGCATAGATTTTATAATAGGGTATAATAAGTATGATTAAAAATAAAATATCAACAAATTTATCCTTAATCTTTAAAAGGTATCCTTAATAAACTGAAAATAAGCGTAATAATATATACATTATAGTACAACACGCTATGTTTGATATAAACAGTTTTAACGAAGTTTAAGAAAAACTAAATCCTTAATTATATTCAAATAATTATATTTCAAAGTAATATTGGAATCAGACACCACTGGTGTCACACCAGTAAATGTTTTCATATGCCTATATAACAATAATTAAAACAAAACCAAAATTATCAATAAGTTTTTCTGAGCCTATACCACATTTCGAAGTTCACCATAAAGAGAAGACCTTAGCAATAAGGATTTCATATAGGTATCTACGTTGCGATTTTAATGATTTTATAACTGAGTGGGTTGCTATGCCACGCGCTAGTGCTTAAACGACGAAAGTATTCGATTTTTACTAACCGAAATCAAAATAGAAGAACTAAATATGTATTTGTGTCGTCGTATATCGTCTTGTTAATATGCTGCTGGAAATATTATGGGTAATCATGGCGTTGTCCGGAACTTTAGCGCTAGTCCTACTGAACGCGGATCCCGCGGGACGTGAAAGCATTGGCGGAATTTCCGCGAAGCTGAGGCCTAGTGCACTCAGTTCGCGATGGTCGAGACTGCAGTTGTTTAAGGATGAAGAAGAAGCGGCGAAAAATCTGAAAACAGTGACCGTCTCCAAAGACACAATTTACGCCATGATGCAGAGGGGCGTATACGTCCTGAATGCTGAGGATGTCAAAACGGACGACGAAGGCAACGCGATTGACGACAACGAGGATGACCGGTGGGCTCGAGTGCTTATGGAACGCATGTGTGACGAATTGGACTTACATCATCCGAATGTAATATCATTGATCCGGCTCGTCAACGATTATTGCGATTCATTGGAAAAGACGATGAATCAATTCGAAGTCAGTGCAAATTATTGTTAAATATGCATAGAATTCGAATATGTACTTTACCTACGTATTTTATAATAACACGCATTGAATCACTCGCACCTTTAAAAATKTATTTAGATGTTAGTCATGTTCTATTTTCAATATGATATTATATTCTTTCATACCGATCGGCGATATCGGTTACAAGCTACAACCGCCATCACCAATGCATAATATGGATAGGTGTGATTACATAAAACCATCCAGTACACGAAGTAAAATGCTATGCGTATCAACTTATCTGAAATAGATGTTTGTTTGGAGGTATTCGATGATCTCGGAAACAACCTAGGTRCCATCTGAACCAATTGACACTATATTTTGCACATAGGTATATCCATTTATACTTGACGCGCAAGTGTCGAGATGTCGCTTTTTGTTCAAATCTGCATATAAATATATATATTATATATATTCGTTATAGAATAGCCACACAGAAATTTCGTTTTAACTCTCAAAATTCAAATATTTATTTGTTTATTCATAGGGATACCATTAGTCACTAAATAAAATGAACTTTTACTTTTTTTTTATAAATGTGAATATGGAAATCTTTTTCCTGCATATTCTTTGAAACTATTCGATAGTCATGCGGTTTTTTTTAATGATAGAGTATTCTACGCAGCAGATTTAAAGCACAGTTTTATGGACCCAAAATCTATCCACGAAATATTGAGAAATTAAATAAGGATAAAATGATGGTGTTATCTGTCCAGTAACATACAATTTGAAAATAATAGAAAAAATGTGTAAATAATATTGTTGTTGTTGTCGATGAGGGGTAACAGTTGTGTCGAAAGGAACTAAAAGTAATGAAATTAATGCTTGCTTTTAGTCATCATAACACCTTATTACAACCTAAACAAATCCATTCAGCCTAACAGAATATAGGTAGGTAATATATATTATTTTTTTATTAGATATAAACAATCTGTACAATATTAGCACAATAAGCTTATTTGATGAGAGTATAGACAAAACAAAACAAAACAAGAAAAAAAATAAGACATGAAAGGTGTGATTAAGCAGCCACCCATTAGTGAATCTAGGCTATTGATTAATTAATTAGTTTTTTTTTTCTTTTATAACTACATAGCGACGTTAGTCGTTTAAGTTTTGTAAAAGGTCACGGCATCATTTCCTATTTAATCTACGGTTAGGATTTCCTG